ACTATACCCAAACACCAGCATCAGACACGATGTCCACAAAACCCGTTGAGAATGCCCAACACTGGTACCCAGTTGACCCTAGCCCAATGAGTCCAGCCGATTGACCTTGGGGGCCACCCGTCTACAGGAATTCAAGGCCAAAGTGGTGTGTTGCATTGCCCCAGACACCATCAACCACTAGGATCCTCTCCTCCCCTTCATGAGTCGTCACGCACGACAAACACATGGGTGGATCTTTAGATCCAAGAGGAAGTAACTGAAAATACAGAACCTTCCCTGGGAGGTCTCCTCACCATGTACAGAAATCCACATTGAGGGACCCCCCATAAAGCCATGATCGTTTTCTTCAATAAAGCTATTGAGTGGGTTCCCATCTATATCAACTATGATCAAAATTATAATAAACCATTACTTTGCACTTAATAGAAATAAAGGTTATTTATCAAGTATTTGTGCAACTTACCAATTGATCCAAATCATTCTGTAATACCTCAATGTCAATACAGCTAGAAATACCTAGGAGTTTAATGTCATCAACAAACTATACTAATTCACAAATTACAACCCTATCAAATGTGCAAAAAGCATCTCACACATACTTCCTACATATCAAATATCAATCCATTGTTTTCATTGTTGCTTAGTTTTCTTGTTTTTGTTTATTTTTGCAATAAATACATACATCTACTTATTCTTACCTGAAAACAACAATCTAAAACAGGACCAGAATGGTTATATTTCAGTCTCATGGTGTTGCTGATTACATCATAGAGTCTGACACTACAATCCCAGGAACTAGCCAACAAAAACTGGTTAGAATTTGGTCCAAACTTCACAGAGGATACACAATCTGTGGGTGGATTTTCTAGTTTATATTCATTTGGAGTCTCACCTTGAAGTTTCATGATGATATTAGAAATATCCTGCATATAAAAATATGTTAGGAGTAAATAATTAACACAACATATTCGTTTTTAAGTCACCAAAGAGAGCTATTTAGAGAAAACAATAACAAACCTCACACAGAAGTGCTTGTTGCCCTTCATCTTTAAAATTACAGTCAGAATATTCCTATTATACTTTCTAATTGCTGGTGAGAACAACTTCTAAATTACTTATCCCTCTCACTACAGTCATCCTTTTGGACACATGTCAAGAGGTTTTGATGAGTTACATTCAAAATTTAATTAAAGCACTTCATCATGATGGTATAAGTATAAATTTGGCATCACAATGTAGCTAATAATGCCAATTTTAATATTTTGTAAGTTTTAAGTTATATATTTTATATGGCAATATAAAAAAATCCTCAATTTCCCCTAGTTTAAGAATTGTGACATTTGCTCTCTAGGTATCTCATCTTCCATTATTTACCACCCCTCTGAGAAGTACAAATTTTAATGTAAGTTACTTGTATAATGTTGTCATCACTCAGGAAAAGTATAATTTACATAGCCTTCAATCTTATTTAGTTACAGAGCCATAAACTAGAAATCAGACCTCTTTTGCCACACCCACCTATCACATCCTCTCTTTCACAAATTGCCAGTACTTCTCTCTGACATTTAATACTATATTATTTATAACCAATAAAAAGCTAAAGTTTTAATTAATAAAATGACATATCATATTGTTTTCTTTAAAGAGAATTGTCTATTTCACTTCAAGTTCAAACTATATTCTCACAGAAAACACATCAACAAGCTTAGCTGAATTTTTAACAGCTCTTGTCACACAGTTATAAAGTCAGAAAGTGTTAGTTATAGGACACTATCTGCTTTTTTCATGTTATTATTCTGTGTTCTTTGGTGCATTATTTAATTAAATAAAACATTATTTAGTGCAGTAGTACCATTAGTATAAAAAAGTAGACTTACAGGTGACATGAAAAAAAAAGGAGACCCAGGTAAGTGCTATATTTCTTGTTTTCATGTGTATCCTTTATTTATTATTATAAAAGTAACTAAAATATAAAAATTAGAAACTTTTTAGATTAGATAATGTTAGATTACGTAAATTAAAGAATAATTTTTCATGAGGTATGCTTGCTAGCAAGGTGTGAGTAGCCCATGCTTTACATAATTCAACAGAGTAACATGACCTACACGTTCTCCAAGTGATTTACAACTTGTGTAGCAAGAATATTAATTAGACATGGTTCAAAAAGCAATAAAACAATAAAGTATAAACAGATGTATACTGTTATGAGATTTAAGCTTTTTATGATAAACAAATGTTTCATTTTACAATTTGAGGTCATTCTAAAGAGGAACAAAAAGGGAAATTTGGGATTATTTCATATTTTTTGTATAGGGTTATGACATTTAATGTTTACTGAAAGTCTGCCAAATTTTGTGAATATACATGTGCTGTATCAAAAGTTATAGTATGGAAACTGTAATGAGTACCTCCATGGTTATGAACTCGGTCAATTCAACCGAGCCTGTAGCAAGAGAGCACTTATACAAAAAAATTAGTGATTACATAGGATTACAAACAAAACTATGTCAAAATTACTAATGCAAATGCAATAAAATGGGGACAAAAACACCTTAATTGTGTTGTAATCACATCACAATAACACCATAAATAAGAAAAAATTAAGTAACAGGACATTCATTCTTTAGAGATCATCCCTCTATCTACCAAAACCAAGCAAAGAACTGATAAAAAACTATGTAGCCTTTAACACTTTTCAAAAACATTAAGCTAATAACATAAATCACATCACAATAATAACCTACACACTAGTTTAAAACTCAATTCATGAAATACTTGTCAAAAAAACAAGTCTTCATCTGTATCACAGCTTAAATCTATTGTCTCAAATAACAGTAATCCAAAGAGCAGTAATAATAATGAAGTTTTTATTTACAACCTCATCATTCATATCACTCTTATTACTTTAAAACATCATTGCTCCATATAATGCATAAAATATAAAAACTGTGCATAACAAATAAACAATATTTCTATTCCTCAATAGAACCTTTATATAAAAATAAGAGCAAGCAAGCACCAATTAAACACAGCAAAATTTAAAGTGTTGGACAACAAAAAACAGTCACTGAAGCCTAAAAATATGCCAGTTTCCATCACTAAGTTTTCATTTTCAGCATCAGAGTTTATTTTAAGGAATAAAATACTTATTACTTCAAAAGCTTATGTGGAACATCCAACAATCCACCATATTAAATATGGAACATTTCATAAACCATATGCCTATCTGTCACAGTTCAAAACCTACAGTTCATTCTTTCATAGCTACATGTAGGAAAGAAATATTTTTATTCAGGTATATTCAAGTGATTTCTCATACTCTTTGCGAGAGTGATCTGCATACAGTTAATTTGCAACTCTACAAATAGAAATGTAGAAAATCGTAAACTTGTATTTATCCTCTATCTCGTATACAAAGTTACATACCACAATGGTTGTTCAAAAGGCTAAAATTTGCTTAACCCTTTATCAGCACTCTTCTGAAATGTATGACAATCAAATTGAAGAATGATGCAAGTACTTGTAGCAAGTTTGTATATACTGTGGATTTTTCTTTCTTGAATGTATTTGATAGAAATTATTGTTGACATACGTAGTCAACAAGGAATGTGGGGTATCACACAAAGAGGTTTCTGACTGAAGGCAGTATCATCATAATTCCTATTCTTGTCTTCACCTAGTGCACTATAGAGTAATAAAATCCTCTCTTTGCTTTAGCAGTCAATTATTCTGTAACTGCAAGTGAACAATGAGGAAAGCCAATGGAAATCCCAATTATAATATATTTGAATAAATTGTTTTTCTTGTTCATATGCTGTCTAAATTTGATTTATTCTATGCTTATCACTTCTAGAATCTGCTATTTGTTAGAGACTAATTGTAACTCATTTGACATGTTGGGAATTAGTATATCTGAATATACCACATATCCAGCAAAAGTTTGAAAGAATTTACTTACTAAAGAAAATAATCACTGTTGTAACTACTACAAAACTGAAAAATCCTGCATATTACACTTGTATTTATAAGTACCGGTACACCTATGAAACCCAACAAAGGTCATAGTTACAAGTTTAGAAAGGACATACAGACAACAATAGATCACTTAATCCTTCAAGACACCTAACCCTTGAGAAAAGTTAAACTCATCTTTTATATTTCAGTAAATCAACAATTCACCTCTAAAACTCCTCTGAAGTGCTGGCTTACACCATTGCTGATGGCAACACATTCAATAATTCAGTCATCCTATTAGCAAAATAAAACTGTTCTTAACTGAAGTCTAGCTTGTGTTTTACAAATCTTAAACTTCTGTCCTCCTATCCTCAGAATATTGTACAAAGAAATCAGAAGCCTTTATCCTGTTGATTCCTTAGATAATCTTGTAAATTTCAAAAGATCACCCCTTACCTTTCTTTTTTTTTTTCTTATCAAACAAGAGATCAGAAATACTGAATATAAATACGAAGAGGTTTTTTGTATGGGTCACTGTTAGGTCATATTTGGAGTACTGTCTTCGGTCTTAGGCTCCTTAAATTACGAAGTACACTGAAATGTTGAAAAGGGTTCAAAAGAAGGATACTAGAATGATACCTGCAATGGAAATGTTATCATACAAAGCCAAATTAAGATCTCTAAAATTGTTTTCTCTTGAAAAAATAACAACAAAAGTTATAGGATCTGACTGAGGTTTAAAATGCTTAATGGAATTGATAGTGTTGATGAATAATTTTCTTTCATACCCAATACTGATAATGGCAATAGGACCAAGGGACACAAATATAAATTTTGGTAGGATAGAAGTCATCTCCTGCTAAGACAGGTTGGTTAGGTGTTGGGATGGATTGCCTTCAGATGTGGTGGATGCAGTAAATCTAAGGCAATTTAAAGGAAGGCTTGAGAAAAGTTTAAATAATAAAGGGTTTGTTATAGCTTTTATTGTTTTATTTTTAAGCTTAGGATGGCCTAGATAAATCAACAGGTCTCTTGTTGTCCTTAAATTTCATGTTATGTCACTAGAATCAATCAAGGGATGAAAGGGTTGTAATATGGTATTCCTTCATTTTTTTGTTATTATTATGTTTATATTTTACTTACCTTTTCCTATGTCATTCAGTTAAGTTGTTTCTTGAACTTATCCATGATGCTAGCTCACACACCATTAGAATTAACTGTAACATTCTCATAGTAAGACAAAATGAGTAACTGGGTGGCAATTGAGCCTCTATCATGGTAACTATAGTCATTTGTAAATCAGCATGTCTGTCTATAAAATTATAAGAAAGTTGATCGGATACTTTGTTACTGGTAATAACTTTCCTATATTGGGTTATAATTTTATCATCTGGTAGCAAGTACAACATAATTGAAAACTGATAAGCAGGTGCTCAAGAATGTGGAGTTTTAGTTATTGCTTGAAACTTGGTTAGAGTTTATTAAGTATTAATAAGTAGATATTTGTGATAAGTTTTTCTTTCTGGTTCTTTTTCTAATATCTTGGGTCAAGCTTATAGCACAGTCCTTTTAAGGTTATATTGTTGAGTTAGAAGTCTGAAATTGCATCATTTGCAAAAGCCTGAGCCACGCTTTTTAGAATTGCGAGTGTATTCATTTTAATATGTGAAAGTTCTAATAAATGTTTGTTTTTTTTAAGAATCCTGATTTTAAGGTTTCAATTGTTCATATTTATATCATATCAAAAAAAAAATTGTTACAGGATTATCTTACAGGAAAAGGTTACAATCTCTTATTTTCTCTTGAGAAAAAAAGGTAACAGGTGAGCTTAATGAACTTGCAATATTATTTTGTGGAGCTATAATGCTTCTGATGTTTTTGAGATATACTCTGAAAGTAACAGGATACAAAGACACAGGTTTAGGCCTAGAACAGTTGAAGGACAAAATTGTCCCTTGTCACAAGTATACATCCCGATACATTCCACAACTAACAAGAGCTCAGATTGAATGGATTCCATTCGAAACAATCTCTTGCTTTCTTTTTTTTTTTTTTCACTGTCCTACTCACATTTAACACCATATAAATTAACTAGTTTTTCCACACCTACCGATGTATTGAATTAGCTATTTTGTGTGGCACTTTATCAAAAGCTTTTCGGTTTTCGAAAATCTTCCCATCGTCCAGATAACTTAAAATCCTCAAAACAAAAAGATAACAGATAAGTAATACTATTATTACGAATAGTAATACTAACACTAATAGTGATATCTATAATAATCTAATTTCTAGTTCTATCTAAATCTATTCTAAGTAAATCATGGTAACTTGTATTTTAGCTTGTTGTAAGGCATGATTCCCTTTTCCGAATTTTCGTGCATCCACGATTGTATTCACTTATAATCACGACATCACATTTCACTAAGTAATTTTGAACAGCTTCTTTTATCAGACTCTCTGTAAAAGTGTAATTCTTTCCTCTTGAAAATAATAATCATAACTACAAATACAAAACTTACTTAATTATTTCGACCCTAAAGAGGTATTTACCAACATTTAGTAGTCAAACGATTATCTCGCAAAATTTCGTTACACCCGGTTACTTATTCTAAAATAGATAGTGTATGGAAAGAAAAATGGGAAAATATTTTAAGCGTTAGCATTGAGTCTGTAGAGCCTATATGTTTGATCCACAAGTAGTTTATACGGCATTGAATATTTATTTATTTTCTTATTGTATTAAATCTATGAATTTTTGGTGATTGTTTTTAAGAAATATAGAAAAACATATATTTTTAACTTCAGAAGTGTCCCTCAAATTCACAATTGACAGACAAACAATAGATCCTTATTACAATAATTAAAAAAGTGGTTTACCTACTTTGGATAGTAAAACTAAACATATCTCAAAAACAAAAGTTTTGAAAAATTAGTTGCGCATCTTAAGTCACAGTACAATTTGTGTATGCAATAAAAACAACAAAAAAAACATGACTTTATTACAAGAACAACAAAATTTTGTTTTAGAGGGTTTTTAAATCACTAGCGGGCGTAAAACTCATTAAACCATTATGTTCTGAACCTACATATTCTGAAAAGTTACTTGCACATCCAAAGCCATTCTTAAAATGTTAAATTCACGTACGTGACATAAAATAAACAGAGCTTCATCATAAGGATATAAAATGTGTGCCTTCCAAGGTCGTTTATTCCCTAGGGGTATAAAAGCTATTAACTTCAAAATGTTGGTAAGTTAGTTTTAGCACTAAGCTACATAAAATGCTATCTGCACTCTGCCCACCTCGGGGAATTGAACCTGGATTTTAGCGTTGTAAATACGTAACCTCCCGCTGATCCACTAAGGGGCGGGGCATAATGTAATGGAAAACTACAATTTCGTATACTTGCACTTAAAACCACCTTTACATTAATTAACAAGTGAAGCAGGAAAACAATAGGAGTCATGAAACCTGTCAACTTCAGTAATCGATTCATTTGTCGGAAAACGCAATTCAGTAATAAAGAAAAATACGAACGTAATTACGTGAAGCATTTTTTAAACGTTTCGGATTCTTCAGAATTTCATCTTCGGTAAGCTGGAGGTACAAACAAACATAATGGTAATTACACTAGAAGTATGATTTAATATATAATAAATAATAAGTGAATAACTTGAATACAAGAAAATAAAAAGTGTGTAGCGCAAATGAAATAGCTCATTTTAAGATAGATTTAAATCAAATGAAGAATGTGTATTATTTAGAGACAAAAAGAAGAGTTAATTTTTATATACAACGTCTCTTTTATTAGAAGTTCATTATCATGCTTAGCTGTTGAGAGAATTTTAAGGTTGGAGAGAGAAATCGGATGCCATGTTTCTGTATATATTGTGTTGGTAGATAGCGGAGTTAGGAGGGTTTATAACTTTTCTTCCAGTTTTACAGATGTACCCATGTGATCAAATGCTCATACTTTCAGACTTAAAACAATTCCCGCTACAGATATTGTGTACCTATTGCCCCTTGTTCACGCCTCGTCTATTTATACACGTGCGAAGACTGCAAGGCCTCTTATATTCGTGAAACTAAACAGTACCTTACAATACGATAATTTGAACCTAACCTAATCTCAGTCATCTTGGCAGCTATTACAAAACTTTTCCAATTCCTCTCCTAGTGTCCAATTGTTCTTTTCTACCATCTCATCAGACTGTGGGTGAAGTGTCAATGTCCTGGTTTTTCATATGCCAAACAACTTGCAGCATTCACGGAACACAGATAATTCAAAGTTGTGGTCTTGATCTGCATGCAGTTCGTATGGCATACCAAACCTGAAGAAGAAATCACTAATAG